TCTGTAAGTGTTTCCTGACTCTTTGTTTTTTGCTAATTAATGGTTCTTATTTGCTGTTCTGAAATGTGATTTGTCCTTTTCATATGTGTTCATTTTTTTTAATTGTATCCTTTGGTATATATGGTTGTGACTATTTTCTTCCACTATTTGATCTGAGGAAGTGGGTCTGGCCCACGAAAGCTCATCATCTAATAAACCATCTTGTTAGTCTTTAAAGTGCTACATAGTCCTGTATTTTGTTATAGACTATTTGTTTTCCCTATTGCTTTCCAGATCAGCTTTCCCTTGATATATTTTTTACCCACTGCCTTTTCTTATCTCCCCCCCTCCCAATTTTCCCTTCTTCCCCCTCCCCCACTCCCATCTTCCCTATTAATTTTGGTCCTAGACATCCAACACTCCGGTCATCTGAAGAAGTGGGTTGTGCCCACGAAAGCTCACAATACCATCTACATGTTTTGTTAGTCTATAAAGTGCTACCAGACTAGTATTGCTTTTTCAGTTTACCTGTATAGACTAACTCCGCTACTCCCTGAAGCTTCTGATCAAACTATTCCTCCCTTTATCCCCCAAGGTGGTAAGGTCACATGTCTTCCTAAGACCAACCAGTGCTTAGAATAAAAGGACAAACAAGTCTGTTCTCAAGTCATTACGTTGATTGTCCAGTCATTAAGCCTTCCCTGGAGCACTATTCAGGGCTTACATTTGCACATTTAAAACCATAAACAGTTTCATACCTCATATTCCTAACTTTACATACAAGAATGATGCTTGTCCCCAAATAACATATACAAATGCAGCAGAATGTGACATTAAAATTGATCAGTTATATGAGGTATTTTGTCCAAAGCATCTTTGAGGTATGCATATTTATATTCATAAGCAAATTTCATAAAGTATCAGGGGGGTATCATCACACTCCCCACATTCTCCATGACCCATATGATTCTGACACTGTGTCTCAATAGCCTTCCAAAATCTTGGCATGCAAAGTACTCAGAGAGCAGAATAATTCATGAAATACAGCTTTCCTGGCACTTATTTTTTGTGTGTCTGCTTCTCATACTTTCCATGTCATCTCCAATGACAGAGAGTCCACAATCTTCCTAGGCAATTTATTCCAGTGGTTATCCCCACTGACAGGAAGTTTTTCCTACGTCCAACCTAAACCTCCCTTGCTGCAATTTAACCCTATTGCTTCTTGTCCAATCCTCCGGAGTTGAGGAGAATATTTTTTCTTTCTCCTCCTTGTAACAACCTTTTAAGTACTTGAAAGCGGTTGTCATGTCCCTCCTCAGTTTTCTCTTTTCTAAACTAAACATATTCAGTTCTTTCAATCTTCCATCATAGGTCATGTTTTCTAGACCTTTAATAATTTTTGTTGCTCTTTTCTGGACCTTCTCCAATTTGTCCACCTTTTTCCTCAATATGTAACTCACAAAGTGAAAGTAAACAGAATTTCCAATATTGACTTAAAGAATATTCCAATTCAGTTTCTTTCACCATTCCACAATGGCCATAACAGATTGCTTTCCAATGTAGGTGTTTCCAAGCTAAATTGTATATACATGCACACACAAAAACACAATATTCAAGTCATGTTGTTGGCTTGCAGTCTATATGAATAACAAATCAATTTATTTTCTCAGAAAATGGTGTATGAGCAGTCCAGAAGGAAAATAGTGTTCAATGAACATTGCCAACTAATAGAATGATTGACCCAACACAATCCAAACCCACAGATGTGTAGAAGCCTTGCTCACAACTGATTCTTCTCTGACCATTTCTTTTGCGGATTTTGGCACTGTCAGTTTCCTTCAAGTCTAGAAACACTGACCCCTTGCATTAAACAAATAAAATATATAAGTATGCCTAGTGAATCAACTTTAAATCTAGAGGGGATAGCAGCATGCAATGAATTTCCATAATTTGTATTCTTATCCAAGAGATCTAGAGACATACCATTTCACCTTGGAACCAATCTGGCAGTTTGCAGTATTTTTCAGACCTGGAACATGGACTTGTAAAGTCAAGGTAGATAAGCAACAGTTTGCAGGCCTGTATGCAGGAATTTCTGTGGGGGGTGGGTGCTTTGTTTGTAAATGTGGACCGCAATTTTTTTAAATATAAAGGAGTTTAAAATAGTCATGCAGTGAGTGTGCATGAGAGGTTAATGAAAAATTTCAGTGGAAACAGTGATTGGTAAAATGAATTTGTTATAACATACTAAAAATGTATACAGTAATAAAGGTTTTATAGAAATTACCTTCTGGGATTTTGCTGTAATATCTTAATGAAAAACAGTATTCCAGAAAGTTCCCATCTGCCTGGGAAGGCGGGGGCAAAATCAGCCCCAGTCTGACCAGGCTGTGACTGTGGCAGCCTGGCCCAAGCCATGGGAGAGGCAGGTGGCTGCCCTGCTTCTGCCAGAGCAGCCCAGCCTCACTGCTGGCCTCACTCCTGGGGGAGGAGGTAGAAGGCAGCCCCAGCGTTCCCCCGGCCAGCCAGAGCATGGGGGAGAGAGGCTGGGGCAACTTGCCACCCCAGCCTTCTCCAGCCAGGCCAAAATCAGCCCCATGACGGATCATACAGGGATGCATTCTCCCCCTTCGCTCCCCCTCTGTATACAGGCCTGGTTTGGTAGTTTGCTAAATGCAACATTAATAAAAAGGAACTCTGTGGTTCAGGGAGTAACTGGGAAAGAGAAGGGTTAATCAATAGGAGTTGCTGTACTGGACTATATTAGGGGTCTGTCTAGCACAGTGTCCATCTTGTTGATTACCTGGCAAAGTTGGTTAATATCTGATGCTTCAAAAATAGACTAAAAAAAAAAACGCAATAGGCATTCAGTGTTCTGTGTATAACATAAGAATAAGATTGGGGTGAAATTGCTTTATGACCTCAGATGGTGATCAGTTTGATGATGTCCATTGCTGTTTTAAACCCTCACAAGGTAAGAGCAGGTGCTGTTCTGACGGATATGAATAGAATATAGTTTTTTGAATTGTACTAGAATAATGTTGTTCAGTGATATCCCATAGCTGAACTCCCCGGGTTGATTTTAGTGCTGCATAAAAATATTCTGAAGAAAAGGGATTGGAAGAGAACAGCAGAATTGTGTAGGCATCAGAAGTGCTTAATTCTGGCATGTTCTTTTCTACTGTACAGTCTTTGCCATAACCAGCATTCAGGTTGTCGCAAAGGAACAAACCCAACTGGGAGATCAGAAAAGATAGACATGGAAATGAAAGTGGAGCTGTGTGCTATATTTTTTGACACATGAAATATTCTATAGTCTCCTGGATCTTTGGAGATCTGGCATTAATAGTGTATTATAGTTATTGTTACATAGATGCGCAGTAATTCCCTAGTTCTTGATGGTGATCAGCTGAGGTGAAGTAGAGTTTACCCATCTGTGGAAGGAAAAAGAAAGGGGTTTGCACAGTCCCTTTAGGACCTGCCTGGCAGAAACAAGGCTGATCTCAAAGTGCTTTAATGATTGATGTTACCTAATTAGTTCTTAACAGCATAGTCATTTGTTGTTCTCTTTTTTAAAGTGCTAACTTATTTTGTTAAACCTGAAATATGGTACCAGGTTTTTTTGAGGGGGGGGTGTTAAATGGTATTTCAGAAATACAAGATAAGTTTTAAACAATTTAAACTATCTCCTGCTGATGTAGTTATAATAATTGGCAGCCCCAGAAATTATCAAGGAGTTAACCATAACTATTAGAATGAAGTAGACATTTAATTTAAAATGGAGTATATTTGTGTTTACTTTGAATAATAAATCCCATGGATGTGCAATGATTGTAGAAGTCAGCAGTACACTCAGTACTGTTTACAAGATGTGCTGGGAAATGTGGGGTTTTATTTTAAAAACAGTGTGTTTCATATTAGGAAAGGACTTTCAGTTAGAGCCATGTGAATTAGAGATTTTCTGAAACATTGGAGAAAAAAATCTGTTTAACCAAAACACCGCATTTCTGGCAGTTATTCCCACACTTTTTGTCTCCCTTTGTCCCCACAAGCACTCTTATACCTGAAAGCCCAAAGGCTAGGGCACCCACTTAGGAGGTGGGAGACAGGAGACCTAGGTGGAATCCCCTCTGTGGAATGGAGATGTGAATCCAGATCTCTCCACACTCATGTGAGCGCCCTAGCCACCGATAGGTTATTCTATGGCAGGTCCCTTTTTCTCTCTCTTGAAGCTGTTCCACTTTATGTAAAATACTTACAATTTCTATTGAAACAGGGACTGGAACCTGACTGCCCCCCTTCCCAGGTAAGTACACTGGACATAAGCTGCAAAGTCACTCTCATGTTCTCAGTCTGGAGTCTGACTATTCAGGTCTTTTATACAAAGTGGAACAGCTTCACCAGCATACATTGAGAGAAAACTACATCAGAATAGCCAGTAGGCTGGTGGTTAAGCCATTCCTCTGAGTTCAAGTCCCTGCTCCAGATGGGGAATGCGAGTCGGTCTCTCCTGTGAGTGCTCTACACATGGAGCTGTTAGGTTCAAGGGAATCGGACAGCACCACTCCTTCTCATGTCTGTGAAGCCTTGCCCGGGGTGGCTGGAGCAGCCCCCGCCTATGGTGAAAGGGTCAGGCCTGCCACACTATGCCCCTGCCCACCCTCCTTTAAGTGGTTCAACATAACATTTAACTGGTTAACTGATTAAATGGAATTTTACACTGACACCTTTTCTTTGACTGAAAGAACTTGCCAAAGATGACACAAATTTGCATAAATGTTTTGATTGACCTGAATCTGCATTTTTCAACAACAACGAAAAAGGGGGTTGGATGAAAAATCGCACCCTGCTCTACTTCCAGTACAATCCATTCTGATGTTATGACAGACTTTTGCCTCTCCTGTGGACAAGTCAAACACTAAGCAGTAAAATGTGTTTATCATCAAGTAAAATAAAATTGACTGTTGCTTTGGCCTGTATCAGCACTTACAAGTTGAATTCTTTGCTTTGTTATTCTTCAGCAGCACACTCCTCTGCTCAGGTCCCGGAGCGGCCCACGGCAACCGTCTCACCACTGAGAACCCAGAGCTCCCCATCCCGGCTCCCAGCCACTGCAGTCAGACCACACTCCATGGCTTCTCCACAACATGTCCACCAGGCCCCTGCCCAAGTGATTCCCGGAGCCCAGTGTGCCAGGCCCGTCATTCCCCTCACTTCAGCAGCAGCAGCCATTACTCCTCCAAATGTCAGCGCGGCCAACTTGAATGGGGAGGTAGGAAATGGGCCAATCAGTAGTTTGGTGACTGCCAGCCCAACCAACACCTCCTGCAAAGCAGAGGAGAGGAAGAATGAAAAGGTAATCACATCTCTGGTGTGGTTTAGCAGTGGGGAAGCAGCAAGCCTTTCTGAAAATCTTGAATAATTTCTGACTTATTTTCTTCTTCAGTTTCTACCGAACATCTTTGTTAAAACCATATATTTTTGATTAATGCCTCTTGTGTGTGGGGGGAGAGAGGTGATCTTCCCCCTGATTTATCTGCCAAACTCTCATGTTTAAAAAGGTTGCTGGGCCTGCATCTTGTCTGCATTTATAGACTAAGGTTTTTCCTAACTGACTGTCATAGAAAAGGATATGTAAATAATCCTCTATAGGTGTTAAAAATCTTCCATTCCTACATTTAAATATAAAGGAAGCAAAGGCTAACCATCAAGAGATGCTTTAACTCACCAGGTTTTCTATGGGAGGCAGAAACCGTATTTCATCATGTACCCGCTGGGCATCCATAGTTACAATGATTTGCATACTTTTTAAATCTGTTCGCTGGTTATACTGTAGCATGATCCACTTGCACATAAGACGTGAATTTCGCTGTTAATCTTTTACATTTCTGCCTTCTGGCATCTTACGTGGTCGGGGTCTGAGTCTTACAAATTTGAAACAGCCTAGAAAGACATTATTAGAGTGTCTCCAGCTTCACAACCAGGGGGCCAAGTCAGAAACCATCTGCCTAATTATATGGAAGAAGTTTTATGAGGTGCACATCTGGGTGGCTGGTGACGGAAGCATAATAGAACACTGTGACTTGTAAATGGTAGGAGTAGGAGCTCTTAACAGTTTTGTAAACATCTCCATTTCTTTCAGAAAATTGCATTGCCATGGTTCAGTGAAACAAAGAACTGGATTAAATATGACTCATTGCAGTATGTGATTGATACATTGTAGATTTAAGCTTGTAGGAGTCAGCACTGGAAACAATATTTCAATGTCTGCACCTTAAACACGTTGCTAATGAAAGCCAGGGCTTTAAGCATTCTCAGCTTTTTAGACTCTTAACAAATATTTTGCTTTCACCAGAGTTTACCCTTTGCAAACAGTTCCCATATATCAACGCTGAGAGTTGTTCATGGGACATAGCAGAGCCTACTGGTAAATTCTGCCTGGAAGCAAGCTACAGCTTGTGTTTGAACAGCATGAGAGGTTAGGAGTTAAGCTTTCTCCTGGATTTGCAATTTTTTTTCTAAATTCACTAAGTCGTTCCATAGTGACAGACCTGCATAGGACAAATATTTACTGTGTGCACAATAATACTATGTTTAGAGATCTCCTGAGTGTGCTGAAGGAAATTTGGTAAATATGAGATATGCTCAGGTTCACAGATAAATACTAGTTTCACAAAGAGGAGGCATGCGAGTTTAAAATCTTCTTAATCCTCTTTCTTGAGCATCCTCCTGTTGTCTTTCAACTACAAAAAGAAGGGCATCAAATTCTGCCCTGGATGTGAAATTTCATAGGTAAACACTATTCTGCTTCAAAAATAAAGCATGACCATTCCGGGGGTGGAGGGGATGTCCAAACAAATCCCTTTCTAGTGATTTGAACAGTGTCTCCCAGAGGGAAGACAATGAAAAATAGAAGTAAATGCAAATGGCTTCAATTTATGGTAGAGAATTTCTTCAGTTACCCTATCTAATTAAGTACTAGCTAGCTAATAACTTGATCTGTAACTCAATCTGATCCCCAGTAAACTTTCTGAGTCCCCTTGCCACTGCCCCCATTTGAAAGAATGAGGAAGATCTCAGTGAGGGAATGAAACTAAAGATCTGTGTTGTCATTTTTAAATCAAGAACCCTATCTCTTCAATCAGCATGAGTGTTCTCTATATTCAGTTGTTAAAATGAAGCTGAGACCATGCAGTTATAGCACAGTTTTTAGTTCCACCTCAGCCAATTGCTTGTATCATAACTTCTTTTTGACAAACACCCACACACACTCTCTCTCTCTTTGTTTAGCACCTCTGATAAAGCCACTTATTGAATGAATGAATGAATTTCTCATTAAATATGCTCCTTCTTACATTAATCAAATCAAGCAAGTCACACTGAGTGGTTTGACCACTCTAATTAAACTTGCTGTAAAATCCACTTATTTCATTTTTGATGCAAATTTTGATTCAATTCCTATAAATGTCTGCCACCATATCTGCTAAAGTTGAGAATAAGTGATTGCTCTTGTGAGCAGCCTGTTAATTTGTCGTAAGTTTTAATACTTCTTCTTTGCGTTAGCGGCTAGAACGTACAAAATACGTTTGAAAATTGGCAAGTCAAAATTAAACACTTGTCTAAGTGCACAGAAAAAAAATCTGTTTACAGCTTTAAAATAGGATAGAACCAACAAAATGAGTTCCTAGACCTAGAACCTATGTAGGAGCTGCATAACTCTGTTAAGCAGATCACAGCAGTGGGGAAACATATCATATTGCTGTTAATGTAACCACCTGGAGGCAGTACCAAACCTGTAGTCTCTGGAGGTTAGTGTAGGAACCTCTATAGCTTGAGCTATAAAGCCAGTTGCTGTTCAGCTTAGGCTGTAGAGCTCACTCATTCTTAGCTCTCACTGTAAGTGATCTCAGAGCCACTACATGGGACACTGAACCACACCTGCTAAGTGTGTGGGTTACATACTTACCCTACCCAAAGAAGCACATCTAAAGCTTCAGAGACCTAGTTAAGACCCCAGAGGAACCCCCACTTGTAACTGCTGACAGGCTGATTCAAACCTGGGACCTCTGGACCATAGTGTAGGAGCCTGTACAGCTCTAGGTGTGGGGATTACATTAAGGTAGGGCTACTCAACGTGTGGGCTGCAAGCGGCCCACAGCCTGTTTGTTTGCAGCCCACGGTGCGGTATGGGTTTACTGGGGCTCAACACACTGCCCATGCATGGGATTCTTTAAACATGGCCTCCCTTCGGAACACATTTCACAATGATGAGGCATCTCCCAGGTAGGGTGAGCATTCAAAGATGCAAGGGGACAGGCTTGCCGGAACAGACGGGTACAGGGTGTCGGTATTTCTAGCCTCCAGGGAGGAGGTGCTGGGGCATTGTGGGAAGTGCTGGCTGCTTAGCATTGTGGGCAGTGCCTGAGAGGTGCTGACTGGCTCACACTGGCCTTATTTGGGTCAAGCCCCATGGTTTACTGCTTAATCTTTGTATTCCTGCCTGTCAGTGTGAAATAAGCTATTTACATATATTTGCATATATATTTGCATGTACATGCAACCTCACTTAAGTTGCAGCCCTCAGCATGTGCTGTGAGTATCATTGTGGCCCCCAGGGCTTCCAAAGTTGAGTAACCCTGCATTAAGGTAACAAGAGATCAGTTTTACATGTACACATTGAGTAGATAACAGAGGGGATAGATGTCTTTTTTCCTCACCTGTGTCACCTGCTTGTACAAATTCAGGTTATTTAGCACAAAAATAATTATGGTCACAAGGTTACAGATGCAGATTTGGAATCTGGATGGAAGTCCCTTCAAAAATTTGGCGTGGTAAAATAAGAGACTGTAGTAAATTGTCTTTTTCCTTATTTCAGAGTAACAATCTTCATCCAGCTTGCCTGTTGAAACTGTGACACTTAACACCAGATTGATATGTTCAGAGTATTGTACTAAATTCTGCATAAAGGACCAGATCGTACAAGGTTAAGAGCCCCCTGGGTTCCCAATAACTACGTTTTAATATCTGTTTTTCCACTTTTACACATATTGTTAGCTTGTGTGAAAAATGGAAATTCTACTAAAAAAATTCTTAAAAAATTGAATTCTTCTTTCAGAAAATATAGCATCAGTCTGAAACTTGAGGTGCTGAGCACCTTCAACTCCCACTAACTTTATGAGATATTAAATGACCAAAATAATGGTAATCACTGTGGGGAAAACAAACATAAAAGAAGCTAAGCACTTTAAATAGAACGGACACCAATTTTTTGGAAGTAGAATTCAATAATCTTAGTAGAGATGAAGTAATACAAAGTAATACAAATATTTCTTTTTGCTTTAAAACATTCACCTGAGAAGAAACTGGAATAAAAAAAAAAACATGGCAAAAATAAAAAAAATAAACTACCAAAAAGCACCACACTTCAGTTCAATTTCCTCTGAATGCAGAACACAAAAGTAGCAACACTGTTGAGTTTTGTGTCACAAGTATAAAAAGCTAAAGTATTGTGAAATATCCATTTTTTTTTCAATACAATGAAGTGTGCTGTATTCACTGCAAATTATCTCCAGCTTTCAGTGATTTAGATGGCTGATCTTGTGACCATCAAGTGATTCACCAGAAACTGAGCTCAGGCCACAGAGTGCAAATTTGGGGTAGAGAGTTAGGTTTAAAATCTCTCCAGTGCCTTCTCCTCCATCACTAAAACTTAATCAAAAGGACAAACATATACTGGCAACCAACTGATTAATACTTTTTAAGGCTAGCGATCAATCCAGCCAAAAACCATGAAGCCCAGCTATCAAAACATAGCATAGTTCTGCTTTACAAGAAAATAGATTGTCTTTTTGCCTAGCCAAGGTTCTTTTGCTTAGGTGAAAGGGAGTGTGCCATTGATCAACATTTCTTTTTCTTCTTCATGTTTTTTATGTTAGGAAATGCTTTCAAACTCCCCACAGAAATTTTGAATCTTGACTTTCCTATGAAGCAGCCTCTGAAAACTAATTTTTCTTGTAATGCTGTTGGAGGATCCCTCGTATATCCACTGGGAAATCTTCCTAGTATCATCGCTAATGTTGCTAGGCTGTACTTTGTTGCTATCAGTAGGGCTGCTCTGGTACTTCCCAATAAAATGTTTTGTCACTATCAGTAATGTCAGAAAGGGTTGGTTTATACAAACCTGGTTTGATTTTTTTTTAAACAGCTCTGAAATTGTAGAAATGTCCCCATTTTGAAAAATTAAATGTTTCATTTTTTATTCAAATTACTCTGGAAATTGTAGTTAACTTACATTAAAATATTTAAGAAATATAAAAAGAAATATTGAAACACTATTTGATTTATCTGTTCCCCCCC